GGATGGACAACCGAAAAGGGGGTGAAGGGAGACGTCGGACAGGGCAAGATATGACAAAATAATAATTTATAAATTATCAAGAGCTCATGAGGGAGGGCGGAGCGGGGAGGGAGGGGAAAACTGAGGACCTAATGCCGGGGGCTTGAGTGGAGAGGGAATGTTTTGAGAATGATGAGGGCAATGAATGTACAAATGCACTTTACACAATCGATGTATGTATGGATTGTGGTAAGAGTTGTATGAGCCCCTAATAAAATGATTTAAAAAAAACTAACTCGTCGACATTCCACCATGTTAGGAGGTAGCATATCCCAGCTGCACTGAAGGAATTAACCAAAAACAAAGCTCCAGGAATCCAATAAAAATGTTTCAAAAAGTCGATGAAGCACTTGCTCATCTATGTCAAGAAATTTGGAAGACAGCTATTTGGCCAACTGAGTGGGGAAAAATTATTTTTTACCCATTCTAAAGAAAAGTGACCCAACCTAATGCATTAATTATCATTACACAACATCATTGATATCTCAAGCAAGTAAAATTTTACCAAAAATCATCCAAAAAAGGTTGCAGCAGTACCTTGACAGGGAGCTACTCAGAGGTTCAGGTTGGATTCAGAAGAGGATGTGAAACAAGGGATATCACTGCTGATAATAGATGGATTTTGACTCAGAGCAGAGAATAGTGGAAAAATGTTTACCTTTGTTTTATTGACTATGCAAATATATCTGATGGTGTAGATTACAATAAACTATGAGAAGAATGAGAATTCCAGAATACCTGATTGTGCTCATGTGGAACTTGTACATAGATCGACGCAGTTGTTGGAACAGACTAGGGGAAAATACTGCATGGCTTAAAATCAGGAAAAATGTGCGTCAGAGTTGTATCCTCTCATCATACTTTATGCAGAACAAATCATTGGAAGCTGGATAGCATGAAGAAAGCACATCGATATTGCAGGAAGGTTTATTAACAACGTGCCATATGCAGATGATACAACTTTGCTCGCCGAAGGTGAGGAAGACTTGATGAAAATCAAGGATTGCAACCTTCAGAATGGATTACAACACAATGTTAAAAAAAAAAAACCTCACAACTGGACCAATAAATAGGTAGCATCATGAAAAAGGAAAAAGATTGAAGTTGGTCAAGAATTTTGTTTTGTTTGAATCAACAATCAATGCTCATGGAAGCAACAGTCAAGAGATCAAAGGCTACTTTTTACTGAGTAAATTTGCTCCACGAGACCTCTTGAAAGTGTTGACAAGCAAGGATGTTAATTTTTTTCTTTTTTAATAATTTTATTGCGGGCTCGTACAACTCTTATCACAATCCATACATCCATCGTGTGTCAAGCACATCTGTACATTTGTTGCCCTCATCATCCTCAAAACATTTGCTTTCCACTTGAGCCCTTGGTATCAGCTCCTCATTTTTCCCCTCCCTCCCTACTCCTCAGGAACCACTGATAATTTATAAATTATTATTTTGTTATATCTTACACTGTCCGATAGCTCCCTTCTCCCAGTTTTCTGTTGTCCATCCCCCAGGGAGGAGGTTATATGTAGATCCTTGTAAATAGTTCCCCCTTTCTACCCCATCTACCCTCCACCCTCCCAGGATGGCCACCCTCACCACTGGTAAGGATGTTATTTTGAGGACAAAGTGCGACTGACCCGAGCTATGGTATTTTCAAAGTCTTCAAATGCATATGAACGTTTGACAATGACTATGGAAAAGCAAGAAATGGATACACTCGCATTATGTTGCTGGTGACGAATGCTACCAAGACCATCAACTGTGACGATAACAAACAAAAGCTGTTTTGGAAGATCTACAATCAGAATGCTCCTTAGAAGCAAGAGTGGTGAGACTTTGTCTCACATACTGTGGACATGTTATCAGGAGAGTCCAGGAAAAGGGCATCAGGACAAGATGGACTGACATGGTGGCTGCAACAATGGGCTCAAACAGAACAGTTGTGGGGGTGGCGCAGGGCTGGGCGATGCTTCATTAGGTTGTACCCGGGATCCCCAGGGGTTGGGATCGACTTGAGGGTAGTGAGTACTAGAATATGAAAATTTACAAATCTTTCTGGAGGCAATTCACATTTATAAAAAACATGAGAGGGAGGAAAACGTAAGTTAAGAGTGGAAATTAGGAAGCTTATAATGCTTATTTGAAAGAATATAAAAAAGCATAAAAAGAGATAAGAGGTTAGTGTCAGCTATAAAGAGGAGGGAAAGACAGAGCACAAGAAACTTCATTTCAATGACTTTCTTTGGAAAATTTTTAAGAAGGTGAATAGGTTCTATGAGAAGAAAAAACAAGAGCAAAGTCCAGAGAGCAGAAAGGTGCCAAGTGTAGAAATGATTTCCACAATCAACTCAACAAATATCTAGGAAAAACAGTGTTTTATTCATCAAACTTTAGTTGGGAGATTTCTGGGTAGCGGGCAAGTTCTAGGCACCTGGGTGGCCTTAAATGTTATGAACAAGCTGCTTTATTTCACTTTCTCCCTTTAATACCTGTTTATTCAGAGTTGACTGTGCCCACTGCCCTGGGCTAGATGTTAACGATCTGCAGAGGATTAGGACCGACAGCACCGCAGGTGTAAGCATTTATAAATGAGTGACACATACAGGGAGAAGTGATCGCACTCTGCCAGAGAGCGGACACATGAGTCTACCATAAAAACGCACGGCTAGGGTCTCCATGAGTTGGAACGGACTTGATGGAGGTGAGCCCCCCCCCCCCACTTTTTTTTAACGTTGGTATAAGCTTGGAACCAACGCAATGACTGGGAATTTCTCTCTTTTATTTATTTACATTTTTTTTATGAGCTGAAATTTCCCGAAAACAGGGAATTAGAGTAAGCTGAAAAGAGAAAACCAGTAGATGAAAGCTGACAAAATAAATCACGTAAGTGGATCCGCACCCCCTCTCCCGCTACAGCCAATCCTGGCTACTTTTATATCTTTGCCAGATAGCTACCGATATTCCACACCTTGATGGCGTCCTATGTGCCAATGGCGATCATAACACGGAGAAAAGTTAACACTCTAAATCAGCTTGCAAAGATGTCAGAGAAACGTTCTCTATTTCCCATAGAAGGGAAAGGTGTTCTTACCTACCTAAAGCAATCATGCTGTAACCTGAAGACAAACAGAATCCACAAAAGCCGGTTTACTTACCAAGATTTCTTTCTCAGAAGAAGAGAAAACAACTCCAAGTATACGAGAGAGCGAGTAGGCGCTTGGTAAATGCCAACGCCCAGGTTTCCGTTTGACCGAAGCACTGCCTTATGTGCAATTGTGTGCCATCTACTGGGCCATCCAGGAACTACGCCTTCATCTTCGCTTCCCTTTCAAAGAAAATGCGTGGGTCCCTGGGTTTTCCTGGACTGCAAATTCTTGTGAGCACACGGCTGATGGCCATTACAGGGTGAAGAATAATCTTTCCCCAATATGTATCTTTAAGACTCTGCCCCTGCAGGTAAAATTGTCATCAGAGGGGAAAATTATTGACTGGCCTTCCCCTATTTTTCTATCGCCTTATCCAAAACATTTCCAAAATAATTGCAACGATCCACCAATCTTGGAGCCTTCTTTTAGCTGACTGAAAGCGTTTCATATAACCTATGCTTAGGTCCAAGATTGGTGTCCTTTTAAAAATCAACTTCCCAGGGAACTCTGTTGTTTGAGGTGCCACTGACTCAACTCCAACTCAAAGCAACCCCGTGTCCAACAAAAGGCAACACAGCCCGGCCCTGTGCCACCCTCACAATTCTCCTGCTGTCTGAGTCCACTGGTGCAGCATCTCACCCCTCCGCTTGCCCAAGCACGATGCCCTTCTCCAGGGACTGGCCTCTCCTGGGATCATGTCTGAAGTAGGTGAGACAAAGTCTTGCCCTCCTCGCTGCTAAGGAGCCTCTGATTGTCTTTCTCTTGAGACAGACTGATTTGTTCGTCAGGCCGCCCCTGTCAAGCATAGTGGTTGACAGATACAGGGATTCCCGAATGGCAACATGTTCTCGTTAAACCAACCCCAAAGACCATCAGGTCTTGTTCTTGTCTTTCTCACATCTTATGGTTGGTAATATGTAATTCAAGGAACCTGACGCACCATGCGATTTGCAGATGATACTATTCTCAGATGGTCGCATACAGACGGTCAGTTTCATTACGTACTACTCAAACGACTGCCGCGGGTTAAGCATCAGACTACTAACAGAAGGTTGGTGGTTCCAACCTGCCAGCCTCTCTGCAGGAGAAAGGCAGGGGCATCTGCTTCCCTAACGATTGAAGTCTTGGAACCCCTGGAGCAGGGCTGTCAAACTGGTGGCCCGCGGGCCACATGTGGCTCCCGAGGTAATTTTTTTGTGACCCACGATGCTCTGAAATAAAATGAAAATAGAAAAAAAATATTATGAAGAAAATAGTGCTTAGGGGAGATTGAGGCAATACTGTATACACAATTCTCTCATTACATTTTATTTCAGAGCATCATGGGCCACAAAAAATTACCTCGGGGGCCGCATTCGGCCCGTGGGCTGCCAGTTTGACAGCCCTGCCCTAGAGGGCAGTTCTCCTCTTTCTCATGAGCTCACTATGAGCAGAAGCAGCTCAGTTGCAGTGAGTCAGTGGATGGACTAAATCGGGGGCTTCGGTTGCTTGACAATATGGACCCAGGTGCTGCTCATTTTGCTAGTGCCAATAGGAAGATTCAAGAAGCAGTGTGATGTAACTATGACATGTCATTATATAAAGAAAAAGTGGACCACACAGCCAACGCTCATGGATTTTCTATGAGAAACATCATGCCCATTCTCAAGGATTGATCCAGAAGTAAAAGCTTCCACCAATTATTACTACAAATGACAAAATGCCAGGGTCATTCAGTACTTCTCCATCATCAGAATTTTATGATTCAGATACTTTTCATGTGTGATATATCCAAATATGTCTCTAAGTTTGATGCCATATACCTAGCCCCTAAAGACAAATAAAGATCAAATGTACGTCTGAGCCAACCCCCGACAGCATTGTGGGCTCGATTCCCAGCTAATGCACCTCAAGGGCAGCTACCACTTGTCATCAGCAGAGGCTTGAACAGGTGTCAGAGGGGCTTCCAGACAAACACAGACTAGCAAGAAAGGCCTGGTGATCTACTATTGAAAATCCTTCTGCATGGGGTTTCCAGGAGTCAAGGGACAACTCACTGCAAGCTCACACACAGTTCTAGTCAGAGTCCTGGGCAGTGCAAGCAGTTAACATGCTCAGATGCTGGCTGAAAGGTTGCAGGTCCACTCAAAGGCACTTTGGGGAAGAAAAGCTTGATGACGGAGTTTCAAAACCTGAGCCAGTGAAAGCCGAATGAGTCTCTGTCTTCTGACACACACAGGGTGGCATGAATTGGAATCAACTCCACAGCAACAGCAGAAGAGGGTGCCCAGTTTAACAAGAGACTTCAGTTGGCATAAGAAGCCCTGGTTGCATAGTGTTCATTGGGCTACTAACCGCAAGGTCAGTGGTTCAAAACCACTAGCTGCTCTGCAGGAGAAAGACAGGGTCTTCTATTCCCGTAAAGACAGTCTCAGAAACTCACAGGGTCAGTTCTCTGTGCTACAAGGTCGCTGTGAGCTCGTATTGATTTGGGGCAGTTTGATTTGGGTTTTCAGTTAGCCAGGATACCCAATTCCTAAGACTCAGCAATTCCTTCCTTCAAGGTGTGTGGTTATGTCTATGAAGTTTCCATAATGTTGTCCCCTGCATGCTTCATCACAGTCTTGATTGAGGTTCTATAAATGACCATCCCATAATTAATGACCCTATCTCATCTTTACAGAAAGCAAAGCCCTGCCGTTTGGCAATGACAATGTTGGACATCTGAGTAAGAATTGGTTCTGCTCTCTGCCTTCTGGAAAAGGGGAAATGTCAGCTTGTTACGGTTCACTCTTACACAACAAACCTAACGGGAAGCCTCCTCAGGGGAGGAAACAAGGCTTAGCCAGCAAAACAAGACGCAGAGCGGTGGGTTTTCTGTGGCACTGGAAATGAGATGGGTGGAATTGGTAGAGAAGAATTTCAAGCAACACGTAACAGAAGGCTTCAGAAAACACACACACACACACACACACACACACACTGCTGATCTGTTGACACTGCACAGGGACTGTTCATAAGCCCACAGAAGGACATTGTATAACAGCACTGGGGCTTGAGAACAAGGAGACCAGGGGTGTCAAGGCTGTTATAACTTCAGATGCATATATCCAACTGCCTGCTACACTTCTCCACTTGGGTTTCTAAGAGATGTTTCTTGTTGAAAAGCAAACACTTCAATTCTCATTCCTGAAAACCAAGAACCTGTCACTTTTGCACTCTTCCTCATCTTCATAAATAATTATACTTCCATTCTTCTCATAGAAGCTGGGCTGGCATGATGGGTTGAGGGTTGAGCTGCTAACCGAAAGGCCAGCTGTTCAGAACCACCAATTGCTCTCAGGGAGAGAGATGAGGCTTTTTGCTCCCATAAAGAGTTAGAGACTCAGAAATCCACTGGGACAGTTTGATTCTGTCATATAGGGTCGCTATGAGCTGGCATTATTGACTAGATGGCAGTGAGTTTATTCTTCTCATTGCTCAGGTCAAAGTACTTTAATTTTTTTCTTACTTTTTTTATTGTGAATGAGGTGTAGGATTACACAACAGGTAGCTTTACATTTAACGATTCATGCACATTCTGATTCCACCCGTCCATGACAATCCCCTCCACTCACCCAACTCCCTCCCTGCGTTTCCTGTTTCCACTCTTCCTCCTTTCTTAACCCTCAACTTTTCCCACAGGCAAATGCTGCCCTTTTGAAAGTAATGGTTGATTCTAATAAATGGTTCGGTTCCAGAGCTGGAGGGTGACTGAGGGCCACGTCTTGAGGTCCCACGAGTCTAGTAAGCTTGGTGTCCTTTATGAACTTGAGTTCTGTTCCACAGTTTTCTCCTGTTCCATCCAGGAGACCTTCTAATGTGATCCTGTTCAGAGAAATTGGTGGTGGGAGCCGAGCACCATCTAGTTCTTCTGATCTCAGGATTATGGAAGCAGATTCTTGCATGGCCCATTAGTCCACTAGACTGATGGCTTCCATGTGTGTTTTGATTTTCATCATTTCTCTTTCTTCTGGACTGGGAGAAACTCACAGTATCTTTTAATACCCCAGCTGTTAATCACCAAAGTAAGAGGTAGGACATTCTTTTTGCTAACTATCTTCTGCCAGTTAACCTTGGGGCCCCCTGAGACTATGGTCCTGACGCCCCCAGACCCAGCAACAACTTCCTTCAAAGTGTTTGGTTAGGAAGTTTTCATAACGTTGTCCCCTGTATGCTTCGCACATTCATGGATATATTTGCAGCGAAAATAAACATGCATATGCAAATATTCTCTACCATACCTATCTATATTTGTGAATATCCGCCCACTCTCCCTCTCCTGCATCTCCAGCCTGTGTGTCTATCCAGCCTGACTACTGCAGAATTGAATATACAACAGTATTTGCCTCCATTACCTTTCACTTTTACAACCCCACCAGCATCTTCCCCTGCTGCCATCATTTCCCCCTCATTTTCCTCTTACTGTGAATGGCCTTCCCTTTCGCCATCCAGCATGTGACTTCCCTCCTCTCCCTCCTTTGCACACCCTCCACCACCATTGACAACAATCAAATAATGTTTTAGTGTAAAAACCTATTGTTGACTTTTTCTAACAGTGGTTTCATAAAATATTTGTCCTTTTGTGTGTGCCTAATTTTCAATTGCCTCATGTGCATGTGAAAGTTCGATACTGAGTAAGATAAAGAAGACCGCCTGCTGTGTGATCATGAGGTGTCGATGGAATCAGGTATCAGGCATCAAAGACCCAGAACAAAAAATCACATCAATGTGAACGAGGGGGAGTGCAGAGTGGAGACCCAAAGCCTATCTGTAGACAATTGGACATCTCCTTACAGAAGGGTCACAGGAAGAAAAGAGCCAGTCAGGGTGCAGTATAGCAATGATGAATCATCCAACTTTCCTCTAGTTCTTGAATGCTTCCTCCCCGCCCCCCAACCATTATGACCCCAATTCTACCTTACAAATCCAGCTAGACCAGAGAATGTACACAGGTATAGATAAGAGATGGAAACACAGGGAATCCAGGGCAGATAAATAATGAGAGTAGTGATACCAGGACCAATAATGAGAGAAGTGATACCAGGAG